GACGCGGTCCTGGAGGGGCTCTGCGGCCCGACCCAGCTTCTGAGACGGCTGCGCAGAGCTGGGACCTTAGCCTCAGCCCGTTTATTCCCACACATACGGAATCCTAGAGAAAATAAAGGAGAAAGTCTAGGTCTGGGTATATAATAACCACGGCAAAGAACCCCAGATTTCCCAATCATCTGTTTCATCAAAATGCTCATCACAATTCTTTTATTTTTGGCTTTTCGGGTCACAGCCAGCGATGCTCAGGGGTTACTCCTGGCTCTGCACTCAGGAATTACCCCTGGCGGTGCTCAGGGGACCATATGGGATGCTGGGAATCAAACCCGGGTCAGCCACGTGCAAGGCAAATGCCCTACCCACTATGCTATTGCTCCAGCCCATCATCACAATTCTTAAATCTAGATCTCAAACCAAAACATTTCCACAGCCCCGGGCCTGTGACTGTGACCCAGAGCCTCATAGAGGGTCTTTGCCCACCTCCTTCACCTCCGCAGGGTGGTGGGCGTTCGAAGAAGTGAGTGGAGGCTGGGGTGTTGGATAGTGGCCCTAAGTGTTTTAGGGTTCATCAGTGAATCACCTCTCTTCCTTTCCCCAGAGAAGCTTACAAGCTCCTAAACACCCCCCCAACCCCCTGAGTTTATCTTTAACCTTCCTTCGTGCTTTCCTCTCATCGTCGCAATTCCCCAGGTCAGTCTTGATTACTTACAAGTCAAAACTTCTGGTGACTCTGGACTTCGTATTTGTAGTGAGCTGCTTGCTTTTCTATTTCCCCTATGACCTTTTCATATTTAGTTATAGAGCAATGTTCTTTGCTTAGACACAGAGAGACCGTTAAGGCTGTGCTTCAGATATTGGGGATTTGATTGATGCTGAAATACATCTACTCCTGGGCGTCCGTCATAGTTACTTGACTCAGGCTTCAGTTGCCATAGTTCCTAATACATCCCCACAAAGGGAGGTCCTCACTGTGGGACTTGGATGGAATTGGGGCAAATGACTTCAAAATGGGACAGTCTAGAAAGCATAAAAGCACTGTCTTGATGCAAGCCGTTATGACTTGAGAGCTAGGACCCAGTCCCCCAATGGGGAAAGTCAAGCTGAACCGGCCTGAGGACCGAGTCTGGGATTTACGGTAAAAGCCCCGCTTGCCCTCGGAGCCCAGAGAACTAAGTTTTGGAATCTACACCTCTTACTGTGTTTATCCACATAGCTGCAAGTATTAATAAGGAGCAAACTTCATTGTTTAATATGCACAATTAAATGGAAAGAGAAAAGCAATTATAAATATCCAGGGAGACGGAGCCTCTCCTTGAGTTAAAGCCCCCAAGAGAATTGCCTCCGCTGAAACGCTTTCCCTCTGTGAATGATCAATCAACCTACATGCGCCCTCGAGACCCTTCGGGTGTTCTCTAAGTAAGCGAGCAGCTCTGCATTACACGGGCCATTCTCACCACCAGGCTGTGGTCCTGTCTCTTTGCGCTTCTGCAGGGGAGGCGTTTCTCAGCCACCAAAGCTACCCGCCACACACCCACATCATGAACTCCCATCCAGGGTGGGGGAATGGGGGTCGGGGTAGGGGGATGGCTTGTTCTCCAGAGTGCTGGTACTTCCGCCCAGGTTTGCAGCTGGAGGCTGGAGGTGGGGGCTTCTCCTTAATCCAGTCTTAAGCAGAGTTGAGCTAGAGTGGCATTTCGGTCTCTTTGAGGCGTCACTTCTGGCTTGCCGAGACTCCTGGGCCTTCGCCACTCAGCGCCCGGCCTCTTGCTCCTCTTCACTGAGTTTCTTTCTGTCTCTGTACCGTGGCGGCTGGCTTGATTATCTCGGCAGCCTGCTGAAACCGCCAAGAATTTCTTAAACCCTTCATTGTCCCAGATCACGAATCTGGTTTCCAGCAGGGGCTGGACACTGCTGTGTCCCCCGGCCTCAGGCCCCTCAGTGCTGGCGTCTCCGGAGCGCTCGGAGACGAACTCTGGGAGTTTCCCGCCAGCATCAGTCATAAGCGTCAGAAAAGTGATCTTTCCCCCTTAGTTTTTCCGGATTCCTATAATGCGCCTAACTGGGAGAGATTTTCATTTTGAGTTGAAGGCAATAAGATTGCCAAGTCCTGTCCAATGTCTTGTCGTTTTCCTTTGGGAGATTTTCATTAATATTTGCAAAAAGAACCGACTTCAATGGCGCCTGAAGAACAGGTGGGCCGGAGAAGGAGACTCCACAGCCTGTAAGATCTTGCTCCCCTGACCCGACACACTTCTAGGGCTGGGAACTGCCCTTTCTGTTTTCGAGGGCTTGGGGTGACGTGACATCGAGCAACCACCCCGCATGGGACCCGCTGAGCTTCTGTCCTCTACGTGCCTCAGTGGCACCCGCAACCCTGTGCCAGAGAAGGAGGAAATGCGGTCCCCGCGGGCCGACCTTCCTTTAGACCAGGGTCAGCGCTAAGGGGCCCTTGCCGGGCCTGGGGCCACCGTCTGCTCACAGGCACCAGGAAGTGGCTGATGCTCCTGCTGTTCAAAAGAAGCTTCTAGAACAACGGAGCTCGGACGCCAGAGAAGACGCTGCTGCGTCTGGGGAGGAAGGCGCCGAGGTCTCTCCGCGTCCGGCACACCCTCACAGTCAGGCTGAGAGCCAGACACTTCCGGAGACTCGGAGGCTCCGAGGATGGCCCAGAGGCTCAGTGCGAGGCCAGCGTGGGGGAACCTCAGCTTCCCAGCACCTGGCGCCCCCCGAGCCCTGCCAGGAGGGACCCCCAGCACAGCCCCGTGCAGCCCCCAGCGCTGCTGGGCATGGCTCCAAATATTCAACAAGAACAGCAAAGGCGGCAGCTAGCTGGGGTGAGGGGTCCCCCCTGCGTCACTGGGCTCCCGTCTGTATTCCCGTACCACAAGACCACTGTCCCGTGGTGTGGGTGATGACGGGAGAATCTGCCTGTTCGCCTGCTGCCGGGGGTCAGCTCCCCCAAGGGTCCCCTAGGGTGGCTTCAGGACAGTCCACGCGAGACTCTCTGACGTCCTGGCACTGCAGTTCCCAGGATGCCGGGGGGGGGGGGACATCTCCAGCCAAGCCGAGTCCAGCCGAACCCCCCCTTCCCGAGACCAGGACGTGGGGGCCCACCTCTGCCTCCCCCTGCCACCATGGCCTGGATTCAGCCCAGTTTCCGGAGAGGGAGGCGACGTCCCACCCCTTGATGTCAGACTTACAAGATTCTGGAAGGGAGCGAGGCACACAGTGGCCATCTCTTGGAAGTGAAATTCGCAGATCTTCTGACGCTGGTTGGTGATCGCCTTTGTGGGAAGCAGACTGTCATTTCAAAGGGTTCAGATGAAAGGAGGAATTGAGGGGACGCCCCCCCGGTTTCCCGTCCTCAGTACACAATCCCCCCCTGTGATGGCTTAGCAGCACTAATTAGGACACATCTGCCTTGTGTTGTTTTTAAGTGGGCAAAGTAAGGGACGTCAAATCATTCACAGAGATAATTGAAATATAAAATCTATCATGAACATGTCTGTGAGTTCCTTCGGCTGGGAGAGTTACCTGGAGTGTCATTGACCCGGATTTCACTGCACATCAGTGATAACGGTGGCTCGGGACACAGGTGGAGCACCGAGACCCCCTAACCAGAAAAGCAATGGCCCTATTCCTCCCTGTGGCTCTCTGAAGCCCGGCCACCTCCTCTCGCCTTTCCACCCTTGTCCGTTTAGCCAGGAAGAAGGTCGGGCTCGAGCCTGCAAGTTTCTTGTCAGAAGCAGCAGGAGCCGCTCCTCGGGGGTAACTGGGGGTCCCACGGGGTGGCGGGGTCGTGGCAGATCAGGGCAGACATGCCGAAATGCTGGGGACTCCAAACTGCTCTTAGTAGGAGGCCCAACTCTCGGGTTCTGCAGGGATTTTCACCCAAATGCGTGGCTCTGGGCACCTCTCTCGCCCAGCCTGAGTCGGGGTCCCCTGAGCCCAGGTGCGCCCTCAGCCTCTTGACTGCAGCTGGGAGTGGAGCCCGGGGCTGCCCACTGGGAGCCCCCTTTGCCTTTCAGGCTCTGCCCCTGCACTCCTGCTGAGCGGAGCAGCCTCTGCCCACGCAGCTGTGTCAGGAAACCAGGGCGCAGCGAGAGTCTGTGCAGCACCTCTGTGATCCCACGCGTCCCTGGAACGGGGGCGCACGGCTGGGTTTGCAGAGAATCATACTTCCTGTCCTCGGTGGAAGGACTCGGGAGCTTTGCTAGCTGTTCCCGGATAGACAGCAGCAGCTGGGCTCACGGCACTGAGGCAGCGAGGATGCGATGTGGGGGAATGACCCATTTGAGGAGAGGATGAGGGTGGGGATGAATGATGTCATAGAGGAGAGGATGAGGGAGGGTGGGGTGAATGACGTCATGAAGGAGAGGATGAGGGTGGAGGTGAATGACAACATCAAAGAGAGGATGAGGGTGGGGATGAATGACGTCATCGAAGAGAGGATGAGGATGGGGATGAATGGCGTCATCAAGGAGAGAATGAGGGTGGAGGTGAATGACGTCATAGAGGAGAGGATGAGGGTGGGATGAATGATGTCATCGAGGAGAGGATGAGGGTGGAGGTGAATGATGTCATAGAGGAGAGGATGAGGGTGGGGTGAATGACGTCATGAAGGAGAGGATGAGGGTGGAGATGAATGACAACATCAAAGAGAGGATGAGGATGGGGATGAATGACGCCATCAAGGAGAGGATGAGGATGGGGATGAATGACACCATCGAAGAGAGGATGAGGGTGGAGGTGAATGACATCATCGAGGAGAGGATGAGGGTGGGGATGAATGATGCCATCAAGGAGAGGATGAGGATGGGGATGAATGACGTCATCGAGGAGAGGATGAGGGTGGAGGTGAATGACATCATCGAGGAGAGGATGAGGGTGGGGATGAATGACATCATCAAGGAGAGGATGAGGGTGGAGGTGAATGGCGTCATCAAGGAGAGAATGAGGGTGGAGGTGAATGACGTCATAGAGGAGAGGATGAGGGTGGGATGAATGACGCCATCAAGGAGAGGATGAGGATGGGGATGAATGACGTCATCGAGGAGAGGATGAGGGTGGAGGTGAATGACGCCATCGAGGAGAGGATGAGGATGGGGATGAATGACGTCATCGAGGAGAGGATGAGGGTGGAGGTGAATGACATCATCGAGGAGAGGATGAGGGTGGAGGTGAATGACATCATCGAGGAGAGGATGAGGGTGGAGGTGAATGACGCCATCGAGGAGAGGATGAGGATGGGGATGAATGACGTCATCGAGGAGAGGATGAGGGTGGAGGTGAATGACATCATCGAGGAGAGGATGAGGGTGGAGGTGAATGACATCATCGAGGAGAGGATGAGGGTGGAGGTGAATGACGCCATCGAGGAGAGGATGAGGGTGGAGGTGAATGACGCCATCAAGGAGAGGATGAGGATGGGGATGAATGACGTCATCGAGGAGAGGATGAGGGTGGAGGTGAATGACGCCATCAAGGAGAGGATGAGGATGGGGATGAATGACGTCATTGAGGAGAGGATGAGGGTGGAGGTGAATGACATCATCGAGGAGAGGATGAGGGTGGGGATGAATGGTGTCATCAAGGAGAGGATGAGGGTGGAGGTGAATGACATCACCAAGGAGAAGATGAGGGTGGGAATGAATGATGCCATCAAGGAGAGGATGAGGATGGGGATGAATGACGCCATCAAGGAGAGGATGAGGATGGGGATGAATGACGCCATCGAAGAGAGGATGAGGGTGGAGGTGAATGACGCCATCGAGGAGAGGATGAGAGTGGGGATGAATGACATCACCACGTCTTCAGACGCAAGCGTATCAGGATGGCTGGAGAATCCCATCACCTGACAGCTCACATCTCCGACCCCTCGCAGCCCAGCTCACCAGGTAATGGTGCCAGAAGCCAGACACAGCCCCAGCAGGGAGGGGCAGGTGCAGGCTGGCCTGGCTGGGGCCCGCGGGTCCCTGGGTGCTCTCTGAGCACTGCAGCCTGCTGTTGCTCTCCTCGGCTCTGCTCTTCAGGTTGGAACTCTTCCCCTGTGCCAAAAAAGAAAAAACCCCAGGGAGAGGCACAGAAGCTGCCAATCCAGGGGCAGAGCTAGGCGAGCTGCCTCTCAGCTGCAGGCGTGCAGCCTTGGCACGGGAGCCCGATGCTAATCAGCTCCATCTAGTCGCCTTCAGAAGGGGTGCGCCCGGCTCGGGGGGGCAGCGAGGCTCTGCCAGGGCGTCAGTGAGTGTTGGCACGGGTCGGGGACACCAGCTCCCCTGCCCGTCTCTCCCCCCAGCTCTCCCCACCCCTGCCAGCTCCTCCCTCTGACCCTGAGACTGGGCAGGAACAGAGCCCCTTCAAGCTGAGTTGGGAGAATCGAGTGTCGGTGTCTGTGAGGCGCTGGGAGGCTGGGCGGCCCCTGGTGTGTGTTCGCTGCGATTATTATGGCTCTGGTTCAACACGACTGTTCTCATGGCTGGAACATTCACTCATGCTCACCTGGTTCGCTACATCGCCAAGCGGCAGCTTATAGCTTTACTCCACTTCCAATATCAACACGCACAATTGCCTCGGAGAATTTTAAATCATTTGGCCACAACTCAAGTGAAGAAATTCTTGGGCTGCTTGGCCTCACACCGAGGCATCTGCACACACTCGTGGCGCCGAGCGGCTGCCCCGGCTCCGTCTCCCCTCTCTGCAGTGACACGGAGCATCCCCCCCTCTAGCGCTTTCTGTCAAGCTCAGCCGCTTCTAACCTCAGCGGTTCCACTGGATTACAGATGAAGGTGCCTCAAACCCGCTGTTACTCTACAGTCTCGCCTGCCGCGAATGAGACCCACAGCTTGGAAGATCCTTGTCTGTCAGCGGACCTGGCTCCGAGAGTGACAGACTGCAGAACTTCTGGCTTCGGTGGCATTTCCCCCTGATAATAAAAATGCAAGTTTCATTGTTTTCTCCTCTGGGTTTGATGGTTAATCCGAGACTTTTAAGAGGTTTAACACATTTGGGTGTAAATCTTGGCAATCTCTGCAACGAGATGAGATGAATATTCCTTCCTTCCCTCCCTCCCTCCCTCCTCTTCATTTTGCCTTCATCATGATGACGATGGTTGGGACCCATCCTCGCCAAGTGGGTGCTTCTGACATGCCCCATACTCCTGCTCTTCTGGGTGGGGCAGTGTGGCAGTGTCTTGCTGCCCTTTGGTCTGTTTCCTTAGATACACACATATTTCTATGGGTCCACCTTAATATCCAAAGTGGTTTTTATTTTCTTATTTATTTTGTTATTTGGGTCACACCCAGAGATTCTCAGGGGTTCCTCCTGGCTCTGAACTCAGGAATCACTCCTGGCGGTGCTGGGGAAACCATATGGGATGCCAGGGATTGAACCCGGGTCAGCCACGTGCAAGGCAAACACCCTCCCTGCTGGACACTATTGCTCTGACCCAAATATCCAAGTGTTTTTTTTTAAATATATTTATAGGGGGTATGATGCCGCCAGCAGGTCAATTAGTACCTGTGAGGTGAGTGCATCAGCAGTCTGATGGCACCGTCAGGCTTTCAGATACCCCAAAATTGCTGCTGTGCCTTTTTTTTTTTGCTTTTGGGTCACACCTGGCATTGCACAGGGATTACTCCTGGCTCATGCACTCAGGAATTACTCCTGGCGGTGCTCAGGGAACCATATGGGATGCTGGGAATAGAACCTGAGTTGGCCGAGTGCAAGGCAAATGCCTCCCTGCTGTGCTATTGCTCCAGCCCCACTGCTGCTGCTGTGCCTTTGGGCAGACCCCAAAAATTTGGGGCAAAGTTTACCAAGAAAGTAAACGGCCAAAAGTTAGGTATGTGGGAAACACACCCACAAACCACCTCGGGCTCAGCTATATACTTGGAGGCATGGCCTCTCTGGTTCCTGATCAAACTGCTTAACGGCCATGATCCCAGAGACTCAGAAACGAATCTCGGAACCCAAAGGCTTTTGGCAGAAATGCATCCTGTTCCTGCAGTATGTTGCTGGCGCTGGGCCACTCCGGTGAGAATAGGTTTCGTGCCTTGGCCTGTTCCCCTTGGTGGCCCAGTGACCACCATCCTCTAGAGGCCACTGGACAGTCAGGTTTGGCCCTGCAGTGACAAGACATGCGGGCCCTCACCAGATGGGCCCTTTCCTCCCCATCCCAGCGAGACCCCGAGTCGCTGCCTACAAACAGCCACTCTGGCTCCTGATCAAGCTAATTAATGGCCAGAAACTGCTTAATGGCCAGATCCCAGAGACCCAGAAACAAATCTCAAAACCCAGCAGCTTTTGGCAGAAATGCATCTGGACCACATACAAGATGGCTGCCACCTCAGAGCTTCTTGAAAAGCCAAGTATGAGCTGGCGGTGACGGGGCAACTGCAGTTTCATGGGAAGGGGGATGGTACCATCTGGTCCTTCATGCCCTACCAAGGTCATAAGTTGCCCCCCACGAGCGATTCTCTGGCACAGCCGTAACACCAGACACACAGAAACCATTCTCGTAATAATCTGGCTTTTGGCAGAAATCCAAAATCGCGAGGCCACTAGTGTGGCCACGTGATATTATATAATTCTCATAACCAGCTATAGACAACAAAGTATTTCAAAATGCTTTTTCAACAATTCTGATTGTTGTGTGTGTGTGGGGGGGATTCTAAACAATAATGGTTCATCTTTTGTCGAAATAATGAATGTAATCAATGTAGAGAAGAGTTAAGTGGAAATCATCTGCCTCACAGGCATTGGGAGGGGTGGGGGGTATATTGGGGTTCTTGGTGGTAAAAATGAGTACTGGTGAAGGGAGAGGTGTTTGATCATTGTGTGACCGAGACTTAAACCTGAAAGCTCAGTAACTTTTCCCACAGTGATTCAATAAATAAAGAAGAAAAAATAAATAAAATTATGGAAAAAAAAGTAAGGTGGAATTTTGCCCAATTCAATCGGCTAATCGGTCACTGAATAAATAGCAGTACTCCTACATAAAAGTTATAAAAGAAAATGTGCATTCTTCACGTAGGTGATTCCCAGCAAAAGCTGGGGTGGGGGATCGGACGTCTCTGCCGGAGAGACTCCGCGCCCACGGGCTGGCCGCACTGCACCTCAGATAATCTAGAGTTAATTAGGCAAATGTCAGTGCTCGGGGTATGGCTTCCGGTTGGGGAAAAGTACAAGGAGACATAAAAATTAGCAAGACATATGCGGAGATTAATTCACCAAGATAGCTGGATTCCTGCCCGGGTCCCAGCTGGTCAGGCACCAGGCGACACTTGCAGACGCAACTCTGCCCTCTGCCCCTCCCTGCGCGTATGAAACGGAGCCGCTCACTTCCTGCCTGGTGACAAGATTCTGAAGGTGAGCAGGACTTTCCGCGCCACCTACGGCAAAGACTTGGGACTGCGGTGTGCGAGTCAGCTGGGCCTTCCCTGACCCGCAGTGGAGGCAGCCCGTCCCCACCCACAGTCCTTTCCGAGGACGTGGCCAGCGTGACTCCAGCTGTGTAACTCACAAGGTGAGGGGAGACGCGGAACATCTGTCGTCCGGGGCGCGGAACATCTGTTGCCAGAGAAGAGGTGGCTTTATCTCATAGGGGGATATGGCTCTTTGCTGCCAGTGGCGCCCCGGCCGTGGTTGTGACCATCGCACAGCAGTCAGGAGGTAGATGACCGTCATTCTTTCAGGGTGTGTTTCAGGGTATCCGAGTGAGTGCCGTGCAATAGAGCTGCTCCAGCAGCTATGATTCCCCAGGGGAGGGCTCGACCCCTGGGGACCTGACTCCTCTCCTCACCCTGAGCAGCCCGGCCCACGGGCCCTTCTTGGGTCAGCGGCGATTTTCTTAGGCTGCCATTTACCCATGGGCCTTGCCGGGCTGACCCGAGCAGCCTCGTGGGAAACAGACTCCAGTGCGAGGGATTTCCCATTACAGTCCAAAAGTCCACTCACTCGCTTTGATTGCAATGGATGACCAGCTCCTTTACTGTAAAAAGGAAGAAGTTGGCTGGAGCGATAGCACAGCAGGTAGGGCGTTTGCCTTGCACACGGCCGACACTGCCGACCCGAGTTCGATTCCTCAGCCCCTCTCGGAGAGCCCGGCAAGCTACTGAGAGTATCCCACCCGCATGGCAAAGCCTGGCAAGCTACCCGTGGCGTACTCGACATGCCAAACACAGTAACAAGTCTCACGATGTTATTGGTCCCGCTCGAGCAAATCGATGAACAACGGGAGGACAGTGACAGTGAATTAAAAAAAGCAGAAGAATGGGTCAAGTGTTACTGAGTTTTTGGCCCCAGAAGGGTATTTGCTCAGTGACGGAGAGAGGCTGAGAGCACAGTGGGGAGCTGGCCGAGAGGGGTGTTTAGGGGGTCCGAACTTGGCTCTGACCTGACCAACAAATCAACTGCCTCCCCTTTGGGGTGAGCAGCGGGGACGTGTCTGCATCCGGCCAATGACATGGACGGACCCCCAGGCCATGCCCGGACACAGAGCTGGGCATGGAAGTGGAGACCGAGACAGGGGCAGCTCCCTGGAGCCATCACCGCGTCTGTTCCCTGGGGACAGTCCCCAGTGAGCCGCCCTCTCTCCAGGGTACTGGACCAGACAGCGGTGTGGTTCTGTCCCTCCAATGCTACCCACCCTGGACGCCCGTCCCGATGACACTTCAGTTCCCTGCGGGCCTGGATTCTTTGTGAAGGGCCGCTCGCTTCCTGCCCAAAGAGCCCCAGCGCGGGCAGTCCCTGGAGGCCCTGGTCAGCACAGGGACCTGCGACTCTGCACTGAGACACAGGGGCCTGCAAAGGGACCCAGGGGTGTGGCTGAGGGACCCAGATGGGGGAGCCTGCACTGCAG